CCCCTCGCTGCACTGATATAAATGTTACAGTACCTCGAACATGCATACCAGCGATTCACCTTCTAGGCAGAGATACGCTGTATAGGATCACGTATTACTATATAATGTACTCTATATTACTAGTCATAGATCTATAGACTACATAGTACTATATATTACTACAATATATAATAAATACATGCACTACATATCCGCCTTATACATATAGATATTACACTCGATCTGAGCCTTCAAGAGGCTGAGAATATATATTAATAAAATAATAATATATAGATATACGCTAATCTTAAAGATTATACTAGATACTGCTCTACCTTACTATACTATTTTATATATACTATATATTCTATAGATAAGTCCTACAGATAGATGTAGATCTACTACATCACTATAATATATAGTACACTACATATTAGCCTTATAAAGATATGCTATTACTATAAAATATACCTAATATATTAGTCTTACAGATGTAGATATGCTATCTATCACTATAATGCTACATATATATTTTATATATATATGGTTTTAGAGTACAGAAATAGATATATAGTGCGTGTGCATATATATACACACACACACACACATATATAAAAATTTATATAGTGTGGGTATAGATAGATAGAGTAGGTATATATATAGTGTATACACGTAGATATATATAGTGCATACGCATAAATACATAGTGTATACATATAGATAGATATACAGTGCATGTACACAGACAGATAGTGTAGGTATATATAAATACGTAGTGCATACATACACAGATCTATAGTATACATACATGTATATACCCCATGAGTCTTACAGACGCAGAAGCCCGGTCTTCATTTTCACGGGCTGCATCTTTATCATGCGTTACTTTACACTGGTCTTTGAGCCGCCGCCTGCGGGGCTGCGCTCACACCGACCGGCCCCTCTCCAGGAGAGCGAGACGGGAGGTCGCTGGAGACAGAGACGGAGACGCAGACGCAGCGCGGGCTCGGCGGCAGCGCCGCGCGGCCGGGCCGGCGGGGAAGGGGCAGCCCCGGCAGCGCCTCGCACCAGCGCCGGCGCCGGGGCTTCTTCCCCGCGCCACGCCGCGGCCCCCGCCTCTCCGCTCTCCCGCTTCCACGAAGGGAATTTAAAATAAACCCCCCAAACCCACCAAAAAAACAAGCAACTAAAATGGCTGAAATTCCTGCTCGTAATTGAGCCCAGCCCGGGATCGTGTCGCGCCCCAGAAGCTGCGGCCGGGGGGGGGGGCGGCGGCAGAGAATTATTTTTTGTCTCTGATTTCTCTCTTTTTGGGGGTGAGGTCCTGCAAGCGGGGCGGCAGCAGAACCCGGCCCCCGCCCGCCGCAGCAAGC